AAAGTCGACTTGTTCAAAACTTGAAAATAGCATTGATAACTGGAGCAGTTGTTGGTTGAGATGTTGCAAAGAAAATATCTACTGAAGATTTTGGCCAAACACTAATCATAGAAGAACCGTCTGGAAAATGAACTATAGGAAATAGTACAGCTTATAAAATGAGTCAGGCCGGTAAGACAATCACTGATTGGCATGGCCTTTAGCCAATCAGGAAATGTTTCAGACATACTAAAGGATGTGTAGATTGTATAGGAATTATTTCTGGCGTCAAAGGACAGGTTTATGTGTTTTAATAAAGGTAGCTTCCAAATATAGAGATGAAAAGTCGACCGACCATTTGCAATAATTTCAAACCTGCTATCCGTGTAGTTGTCAGCACAAGTCGGGTTCACCAGTAAATGCTGGCCAATCGCTGATTCACATTTTGGTGTTAGAACTTTTGTTTTACAGGAGCGACATGGTAAATTATTTTCTTTCACACTCTTATTTCTTATGGATGTGGGTACATGTTGTTTAATTCTATCCTGCAATCTTTGTGAAGTGCGACCTACGTACCGACATTCACAGTGCACGAGAATTTATAAATAACCATACTTTTCTGTGTGGTAGGTATCGCATCTTTGTATGTTGCAGGCAACAGCTTACATGTGGAATAAGCTACGATTAGCATCTGGCGAAAAACTTCAGCAGATATTTTCTTTGCAACATCTCAACCAACAACTGGTCCAGTTATCAAGTTTCAAGTTTTGAAAAACTCGACTTTCAAGATCTACATGTGCCGATGTTTCCGTTTATCAACGTTATATTTTAAGATCTGTGCAAGAACTGAGCTAACAGATGTTTTCGCATATCAAAGCTATCTTCAAGTATTGTACACCAAAAAACTTTTCAAATAAATAATATAGCTTACGTTACTTAGGGAACACAGAAACACTAGCTGTTGGCGTGAGCTACTGTCGTTGAACCACTACAGTCTACCTCTTATTTACAGTAACTATAATGTGACTTATACAGTCTAAGTTTAATTTATTTAAATGTAGTGTAAGTTGTATATTACAAGTGCTATTTTCATTAAAAGTGATGTGAGCTCTACAATCTTACATTATATAATATAAGTTGTACAGTTACAGTCTGGTTTATATCAACTGTGCTGTAACTTGTACAAACTAAGTTTAATTTTCATTAACTGTGATGTAAGATCTACAGTCTGAATTTGTTTTATATTAACTAAGTTGTAATTTATACAATCTAAGTTTAGTTTTCATTAACTATTACGTAAGTTATACGGCTAAGTCTTCTTTAAACCAATTTTATAATCCGAATAACTCGTGGTTATATTTCAATTAAGATGCACAATTGCACTGAAAAATGAGCGTTTTTGTGTGATCTAAATAAATAAAATGCTTGTCTCGAATCGTTTTTAGATGAAGGTTTTAGTGTTTAATTATTTATTGAATAGTTTTGTCATTCATCAGTATTTGAGATGAAATACCATTACAAGTTATCTTTAAATATACGAGTATATTCACTGGCATGGTTAGCCAGTAACCATTGCTTTACTCGTGGGCGGATTCAAGAAGGTCAAGGGAACATTAGAGGTAAATCCGTTACCATGGCAACTACATCTTGGTGGCTGACGCTATCTTGAGATGCATGTGACAAACAACATTCATTGCTGCACGATGTTTCTGTTCGTGATGACGTAGATCTATGTGGGGCTTTTTACTGGCTGCCTACTAGACCGTCTTTGCTAACTCGTAGTTGCTATGGCAATCCGTTCTCGACTTCCTCGCTGTCTAGTGACTCAAGAAACTGTAGAGCGTGGGTGTATCCTCACCTACACAGGCCCAGTAGTAACATCACTTGCATTCTGAATGGGCAGATTTAGTAGTCACTCTGTACGTAGTTTGAAACCAATATCAGATTATTTCAATTCTTCTATTCATCTAATCAGTAAGAATCGGGAAAGTAGAAGGAGATCTTTCCCCAACGTACGTACGAGTGAATGAGTGTGGTTACATGAGAATTGACCTGTGGCCTTTTGGAATCCCAAGAATCCGTCTCACCAGAACAGCGTAGTAAATCAACAGCAGGCTAGGTCTTTGTAAATTGGTTTCATATGTACTGCAAGGCTAGAGCAATGAAAACGTTTGTTTCATAAAAAAAATCCGATTGAGTGTCCTCTGAATTCAAAATGTCTTAAGATACAGAAAAAACAATATGGTGATGTTGTTAAACTGAAGGTACCTTGAAGTGTCTGAATATATGATACCAAGTTATATTAACTTTACTAAATGAAACTGTCTTAATTTGTCTTTTGGTTGCGGTGAAAGATTATTCTCATGCTCTTAAACTTAACTCTCCTTTATTTCTCTCGGGGTGTAACTGACAACTATCCTTATATTGTTAAACTCAAATCTCTTCAGAGTTTGTTGGGGCGTAACGAAGGATTACCCTAATACACTTAAACCAAATTTTCTTCGAAGTGTCTTGGAGTGTTACAGAAAACACCTTCATACTTTGAAAATTTACTCTCCTCAAAGCTTATTATCTTATGTTAAACCTTCCTCTTTTTGAAGTTTGAAGTACTAGAAGATTATTCATACACTGCTCATCCTAGCTCTCCTAAAAGAGTCTTAGAGCATAACGAAAATTATTCACATTTGCTAAGCCTAGCTCTATTCAAATGGATTTGAATATACCGAAACAATATCCTAATGGTGTCCAAATAACTCTCTTCAAAGTGTTGCCCTAATACTGTTAAACTTTATTCTTTTTAAAAGGGTTTTGGGTGTGGCAAAATATATTATACCCATACTCCTAAGCCTAAATCTATTCAGAGTGCTATTCTCGCGAAATTAAACTTTATCGTCTTTAAACTGATTTTCGGCGTGACAAACCATTATCCTCATAGTGTTGAGCTAAAGTCTCTTCTACATGTCTTGGGGTACGTGACGAAATATTACAGTCATATTGCTAAAACTAGCACTTTTCATAGTATCTTTGGATATGGCGAAGCATTATCCTTCCATTATTAGGCCTAAATCTCTTCAGATACGTGGCAAAATATTGCTATCATATTGCTAAAGTTAGTTCTTTTCAAAGTATCTTTGGGTGTAACAAAACGCTATCCTTACACTGTAAGCCTAATTCTCTTCAGAGTGTCTTTGAATACGTGACAAAAGATTACTATTATATTACTAAACTTAGCTCCTTTCAAAGTATCTTCGGATTTGATGAAACATCCTCCTTAAACTTCTAAGTCTAGACCCTCTTAAGAGTATTTTAGGATGTGACAGAAAAATATTCTGTGACGTCATGTGAAGTTATGAAATTTATGAATTTTCCCATGTTCTGCTTCAAGTGTTTTGGGTGCGATACAGGGTAAGTTAAAACTTTATTATACTGTTTCTAATCTATTCTTATAGTAATAACTGATACAAGAAGTGTTCATATAAAATTGTGGAGCTTTTAACACATTTCGAGATTTGAATAAATCTTGCTGCAGTTCATAAACTGAAATATACTTATATAGTGTTATGTATACGATCAAAGCATGAGGTGTATTTGTTATTCAATAGCTAAAGTTCTTGCATCTGTATCATTAATTTTATAATGCATTTTTCAAGCGAAGGAAAAAGTTTAATTGTCAAAATAAAATTAAGAAATAAAGGTAGAGTTTTCCAATGACATTTGAATTCCCATATGGAATCTAATATCCGCACTTATACTTTAAACTCTCGTTGTACAGACTGCTTTTTAATTATTTATTATAATGTTAAGTAATGAACATGAAAATTATTCCAAGTTTTGGAAAGTTGCTTCCTTGTGTTAATCAGTTAATGTGAAGTTCTTTGGATGGTTCTGTGGCATAACAATTAGATTATTAGGAGTTATCAAACGTTTCGATAGTTCTCTTTGAGATTGGGTGAATTAAGAATAATTTATTATATTTTCTTGTAATTCAATAAAAAAGGAAGAAACATACAACTGCATCCTGGGAACCTGAAGTGATTTTTTTTAGATAAAGGGAAATGTAAACAGTTTTAAAGAATAATAGTTAATGACTGAAAGGAAACTATAAATTCAACTTACTACACCCTATCTTCTTATAATTAATACAGCATACAAATTAATCAATTAATTAATAAATTTGATAAAATGAGCATTTATGGACTAATAATGATAATATAAGTGTGATTTAATTTAGCTATTTATGATAAATGAGTATAAATTAACATAAGTTAAACGTTGCCTGGGTGTGTTCATCGAGATGGAGGGGGAACGCAGACCCTCCATTGAAGAGCTCTGCCACCCTCACACCAGCAGCCCCACTTCTGAGATATAGTATTTTAAGAGTTTTTAATTCTCTACACTGAACTCCCAGTGATATGAAAGTGTTAATTTTTCTGCCCCAAACCAATGAACGTTGCAGCCTATTTGCATGTTGTTTCGTAAACTGTGTTAACCAGCAGTGTACACCAGTTCTAGCTATAATTAACATCTTTACAAAATCTGCAGCCAACGTGATGAAGCACCCGAAACAGGGGTCTGTTTTTCTAGACGCAAAATAAGCTTGATTCGGCTTCTCTTATCAGATAAATGAAAAACGCTTAAGGAAAACATTTTTGTTTTCGCACATCTAGTGATCTATTGCTTCACTCTATACATACTTCAATGTACATCACGTGATCTACTAACGTCATTGTATGCACTTCTGACGTCATTAGCGATATACAGGAAAGACGCTGTGTAGAAGCGCGTAGGTTACAGGGAACACATTTAGAGGGATCAATGCCAAAGTAAGATGCACGTTCAAAAGAAGAAACTCGTGTTTCATCTGTAAGTTTAAATTTTCTTTTTTGTTTTAAACCATAAAATCATATTCAACATTGCGATAGATAAAATTAAAAATAAGTATACAAATTATTTTTCTCCAATTCATTTGAGCTGCATTATTTTTCGACACAAGTTATCTTTAAGGAAAAATTTTTTTTTTTTGACGAAATAAAATAAAATGGCAGCTCGTGTTTTTTATGAAAATTTAAAAAGTATCGAGAAAGCGATACGTAGATTTCTATATGAAACGTATGTACGTGCTATACACACAAGTTTAATTCTTACAAAACTCCTAATTTAATAAAAATACGTACGTTAGAAGCCCCAAATAAATAGAAATACACACACTAGAACAACGTAGTTAACAATGGGAAATGCATACTTCAGAACTTCGTGGATGATAATATGGAATACGTGCATTCTTTAGACACCTAACAGAAATACTGGCGTGGTTGTTTGGGTACTCGACTCTTAACTCGAAGGTCGCGAGTTCGGATCCTGTCCCCGAACATGCTCGCCCTTTCAGCCGTGAAAGCGTTATAAAGAGTAGCTCAAGAGTTGGTAGTATTGACTAGCTGCCTTCTCTATAGACTATTACTGCTAGATTAGGAACGGCTAGCGCAGATAGCCCTCGACTAGCTTTGCGAGAAATTCAAAACAAATAAACAACAGAATTACGTAGAACCAATAGTTAACAGAAAAGCATATACTAGGACCACGTGATTAACACATCTTAGAACCTCACAATTCACATCATTCCCTAGCTATCATAAAAACATAAGCTACAATCCGCTTGTTAACAGAAGTACGTAACGTATAACTCCTATAGTCATTGGAAATATTTACTCTGAAACTTGTAGTTGAATAAAATATCTACTCTAGAACCCAACAGTCAGCAGTGTTTCGTAACCAGAATCTCGCGATTAACGGATATGGAAATCTGTAAATCAGGGCTGGATATCTAAAGATAAACCCACGACCCCCCATAATGGTACGACTACGGTGTATATCAGATTTAACATCTATTCTCAAGCGCCACCTGTGTAATGAAATTAGAACTAAAGGGTTTAACTTAAGAATTAGAAACAAACGTGTATGGTCAAGCTAAAATCATCCAATACACTTAGTCATCGCAGCCAGTTTGGGGAAGATAATTGTTTTTAATGAAACAGAAAATAATTAATAGAAAGGGAAGGAAATATATAATAAAATGATTACAAAAAAAAACCGAAAATCAGACGGAGGTGACATTCTAGCATGTACGTACAGTACAATGACACCTTGGAGTTCCCCCGATAGGTCAAACATAAGTATCCAGGTTTATAACGCTAAAATTCGGGATTCGATGCCCCGCGGTGGAGCGAGAGAGAGAGAAGATAGTTTGAAGAGCTTTGCACTAAGAAAACGACATCGGCACCTAAGATGTAATTCAGGAATCTTTACTTTAACCACAAAAAAGCAATATATATATATGTAGAGAGAGAGAGAGAGAGAAAAAAAAGAACACTCCTTAGCCTATTTTCACTTACACACTGTTACAACAGGCGATCAGATAGTTTATTGATGATATACGACGTTCCTGAAATTTGGAGCATAAATATATATTCTAGAACCCCGCGATTACGAGAACTACAGGCTCTACACTCAAACTCTGTGGTTACTGTAGTTACATATTCTAGAACTATGTAGATAGTACTAGTTACATCGTCGATAAACATGTAAAAAGTCACGAAGTAGTGCATTAGCAAAACGGGAAACATAGAATTGTGTTGAATTATCCTAAGTGTTAATTTCACGAATCGCTATATTTTTTAAATTCAATGAACTGGAGTAGACAGGTCAGAACTTGCTTTAGGTAAGCATTCAACTAAAAATAATTTATAATTAATCAATGTCCAAGACATTACTCAGAAATGATCTTACAAAAGTGTCCCAATACCTTATAAATAGCAACATTGGCTAATTTATAAGAATGGCTAGTTGAGTTGTATAAACCATGCATAACACACGTGAAAAAAGTAAAAGGTATGCTCATTTCCATGTTATTACATCAAGCCATTACTAATTTATTTTTACAATACAATAAGGCTTAGAAAATCAATATCAAGAGAGGGGTGATGCTCCTCCATAGCTCCAACTAACAGAATCTTGTAGCGGAAAGTCAGTGATTATCAAATATTAAATATAGATATATATATATATATTTGACTTGCTAATGAATGTAATACATTAACTTGTTCTGTATATATATTCCCTCATGCTTGTTCCCCCTTTAAACGTTACCATGGTAACAACGTAAGAGGAAAACTAGGTGAAACTACAATTCTAAATGTTGAGGTATATCGTGAACGTCACCAAGGTAATGCTATAGGAGAAAAACTAGTTGAAGCTACATTTTTAAGGGCTGAGGTATCGTCGTAATATTTCTACTTTCTTATTTTGGAAATTTATGTTAAAGAACTTGTTGATACATAACGTGCTATTTAGACACGGGCCTCAGAATTACTATATGTTTCTTAGGGCATCCTGGTGAAGTTAGGCCAGGCAGTGAGCCGACTGTGGATCCGAAGGTTCATGGTTCGCGTTCTATTGCCGCAAAAAATATATAAAATAATTGAGCTCCGCAGTTCGGGCGAGTTATAAAAGTGACGGTCAAATATTGCTATTCAATTACAGTACCCCAGAAAATGGCGATGGATTATGTTGTCTAGCTGACTTCCCTCTTGTCTATTAGTTGAAAATTAAGAACGACTAACACAGGTGATTTTTGTGTATCTTTGCTCGAATACATAGAACAAAGTGTTGTTAGATATTCTAGTATGTGTCACCCAAATTGACTGAGCAACTCATATCAAAATGAAGATTTAAATAGGATAATGTGATATCTACGTAGCATGTGAGAAGTTAATTAAATAATATCAAACAGGTTTTTCCGTTTTTTTAATAAAATGTTTTACAAAACCATATTTTGTCAACATTTCTTTCCTTTTCAATGAATCATGTCTAAGGTAATAATATATATTAATCTTATTTTCTGTGAGTAGCAAGGAGCCCAAGGAACAGTACACTTTGGAAGAATACCAACTTCCTATTTTCAGGTGTGCCTCACCACAGTTGCCAGGTGAGTATATATATATATATATTAGATCAACTAGTCTGCAATAAGTTCGCAATAACTCCGATTCAAGTAACTAAATTTTATTCAGATTCGATTAATTTAAAGCAAAAAATCGCCCCTAAATGTTTACAGAGAAAAGATGAGCCTTCAGTACCATTTCAGAAATACTTTCCTATGAATGAGTCATGAAAACAAGACTCAACAATGCGGTATCTTTCCTGTGTCTCATCCAGCGGAATTATTTCTTTCACCACATCATCGACGTAAGTTTAAGAACCAATGAGGAGAATTACTTTTCCATGGTATATAAAACCTTACAATAAGACTGATAATAATGATCTACAAAGCTTATCTCTACTGGTAATTTACTTCGGGGTTCTTCTTATATCCAAATAATTTAACTTGCAGCATATATATATATATATATATATAGATAAATCTATAAAATGTAAAATTTATTTGCATTGATTATTTGATGCGCGAACTCAATAGAAAAAAATATTATGAAAGTTTTTAGGCGGACGTTTCACAAACTAAGATACATCATAAAAATGTACATGCTTAGAGTAGCAAACAGTAAACCTCTCTCTAGATTGCATGTATATGTATTAAGTCTTTTCAACCTGAAGCGACGCATAGGCTAAAAAGTCAGGTCAGAAACCCCAAAGCTCAGGCATGGCCGTCCTTTTGTTTTCGTGATTGCTAATTTTCGTCAGGAGATGGCAGTAGCAGAACACTGTAATTATTCTGTTAACAGCATTTTCTTAAAACATTTTGAATTTCATTAACGAAAAAGATTCATTTGCTCCATCTTCGAACAATTATATAGAATCTCCAAATAACTTCTCAAAATTTAATTTCAAATGATCTTATAAAATTTAATTCATGAAGTATACATCTGATTACATTCCAATTTTCAGGAAACCCTGATCTTTAATGTTTGCATCATTTCTGATTTTATTTTTACAAACTTTATTTTCTGGGCAAGGAATGTACTAGTTAGCACTAAGCTGTCGTCTTTTGTTTACGTTTAAATGAGTTACACTTTATTTCATTAGACATAAAATATAGTGTTTCACTCAAACTGTTTATTTCATTTCAGGCTTCCTCGAATTAACACAAATCTCAGACTTTTGTAGGTTCGAAATTTATGGATTTAGATTAATTTTTGGTTAATTTGATAGCCTGTTGTTGATTTCAGGTATTTCGAAAACCAAAACACAGGACTTCGAAAGCTCTGGACGTAAATCACCAACTGAAAGGCAAGTTAGGATAATATTCTACAATATAAAGTTAAGCGAATAACTTTTAAAAACAAATAAATTAACATCTTCTCCTTTAGATAAACCCTTGTAGGCACGTGGATTAATAACATTTTTAAGGAGTTTAACACATTACTTATAAAGATGAACTGGAAAACGTGAGTGGAACAACGCTACATAACGTGTATATTTCTGAATGGAGTTCTGAAAATTATTTTTTCTGTTTCTTTATTAAAATGTTTCCCAGTGTATCGAGTGGGTGAAGTAGGCGTACAATAAGTCCTTTGAAGCTGGCTCCAGATGTGTTGGTGCCTATAGAGAGACAGCTAGTTCATCCATTCTCACAAAAGTGTCGTGTGACAAAATGTTCGCGATATAGCGACAAGCATTACAACCAATCAAAATGAAATCTGGTTCAATGGTATCGGTAAAAGACCTAATAATCGTTGCCATAATACTGTTTCTGTAAAGCGTAGCATTCTGAACACCATTCCTTATACGTCAAGAATTTAATGTCGCTTTTTTAAATGAAAAAATCCGAACAATTTATATATCAAAACAAAACATTTATTAAATGA